TGGCTTCAGCTTTGACTTCGGTTGGTGCAGTCCGACTTCCTGTTTGGGGCCCGAGGGATGAGGATTGTCGATGGCTAGAGACGCTGAGACATGACTCAGAATGGGAATCAGTGTCGCGAATGCTGTACAGTCTGTCTGTTCAAATCCCTTGCCCCGTAAAAAATGACAAACTGTATCCCAATCCACCCATCCCCTATTATGGTTATTACTGTTATGTCGTGGTTCACTGATTGGTGAATTTCACTACAGATTGTCGATTTTGGAGTTTTCGCTATTATTGTCACCATAAGGTGTTAGGGAAAGACATGGAGTCAAGTTTTTTTCACGTTTACTTAATTAGTTATGTCGTGCGGTATCCATGTGGAGTAAAAGTTAACCAACTTGGGCTTCGAACTCAGATTGACAGTACGTGATATACACATGTGTTACTGTTATAACGAATTCCAACGGGTTGTATGCACGCAGACGTGGATCTAAAGTGTGAGCAGGCATCACATATTTCTCAACATATCATACACTTATGAAGAAACTCCGTCTCCGTTGTTTCTCATCACATTGTTTTTTTTATTTGGTCAAAACAACCTGTCCGGCAGTTTCAAAGCCCTCAACTGACGTCACGATAGAATCCCCATCAGGCCCGAACATGATCAAAGTAAGTGTGCGTTTTTTGTTGGTTTTGTCTACTGTGATGGCCGCGTTTTATGCACGGTTTTCCGTCTTTCCTGTTTTCGGGTTGACATTCGCATCGAGGTTCCAAACTCCATAGTTTAGACGAAACAAGTCAGTTTCGAGATGCATTTCGTTTCGTGGATTCTTTATCGCATGCTCCTAACAGTCACATAAGGATATATATATATAACTGAGCTTGGGCTTTGAGTTGGAACATGCCTTTTACATTTTCATTTGGAGATTATTCTGTTGAACATGATACGAAATGAGACTAAATTAGAGCATGATCTTCCTAGCTGAAAATTGCTTGGCCTCAAAGTATCCACGATCAATAATTCAGGCAAGTTTAACAGTATTTCATTGTGATGGTTGATGTCCACTGAATTTGGCCAGAAATGTTTCCCATGGAAATTATTTCCTCAACATTACCATCTTGCGATGCAGTGGTCGGTGGCAGTGGTCACCGGCTCCATTGGGCATCAAGGTGTATTGGGCACCTTGGATGTTTGACCCCGTCCAAAGGGCGTATGATCCGATAAAGTGGACACCGATCCCCAATAGACTTTGGTTTTTGCACACCGCCTCGCTGCCCTGCGGGTCAGGCTTTGGCTAGCCAAATGATCGGGTTGTCAATTCCCCAAGAAAATTCCCCTGCCTTGGCCTGGACAATCTGGCAGTATTTGGCCCACATGCAAATCATGGAACGTTTTTCTTTTTTATAAAGATTATTTTATCACGTCTGGATTCAGACGTGTGTGAAAAAATCTTCACGTAATTTGAAGTTCCCGAAATCCTGGTTACGGACAATGGGACTTAGTCAACCCACATTGAGCTCACTAGTTTTCAACAATCTATGGAAATTCAGTATCTGCACAACCCCGCCTATAAACAAAAAAGAATGGACAAGCGGGACACTGTGTTCATCCACTCAGTCAGTTGTTTTACTCCATCTTACTGTGTACGGTTATTATGTGAAGTATTTAGAAAGTCCCAACCGACTGGCGGGCTTCACAACATTGTCATCGTCATTTTTTTACACTCATAGGATAATCCGGAACGGATCTTGGTAAACGGTAATTCTTACTGGATTCTTCGTGAATTGGGACGAGGAGGATCTTCGGTGGTAGGTCTCACATTTTTCTCTCTCGTGCTTGGTTCTTTTCAACCCAATATCATGGCAACTCCATCATTTCATTCCGTCATATTTCCTCCCGCAATACCAAGCTCTTATTCCTCTCGCATTTATTTAATTTGAACCCTATTTTTTCTCTTCAGGTTTATTCCGCGCTGGATTCAAAGCGCTGTCTGTGGGCTATCAAATGCGTTGAATTGTCCCGGGCCGAAAGACACCTTATGGCTGGATTCGCCAATGAGATTGCCATGCTTCGCAGTCTGGGTGATACGGATCGTGTGATTCGATTGCATGATTGGTATGTTCACAAATAAGGTCTACTCCCTATCACAGGTTGTATAGGCAGAATGGAATGATTTACGTACTTGTTCTGGTTAAGTTATGTTCTTGTGCATGCCCTCTCTCACCCTCTACACCTTTGCCCATCTTGCTTCAGCCAAAATCCGCAATGCTTTAGCCACGACCAGTAGTCCTTTAGGCTAGACGCACAAACTTCAGTCACGCCGCTGTAGACGAGTCAGATCAAAAAGTATCGGAATATTCTGAAGTCAACGGATGTTGAAAAAAATTATTTTCTACAAATGCTGATGTTGCAAAGCTTGGTTAAGATAGAAGGTATGGGGTCG